GACTTTTTTCTTTTACTTCTTGACTTAAATTTTTCTCTTCTTCTCTTTGCTCTCCTATCTCTCCAATTTGATTAAGACCAACAATCAATCACTAAGCATATGAAATCCGTTCTGTTTATGTCACTTACATTTGTCGAATATACATCAACTGAAAATATTACTCTCTTTTGACTTGGCTAGAGTTTCTAATTGGATTATGCAACTGATAATTAATAATGTCATAGTGCTTGTCATAAAACGAGTTTCAATGAGCTCATATATTGATGAGTTGATAATTTGTGATGCAAACTCTAATGCAGAAATTTTATGTTTGAGAATATTAGGAACTTATAATTTATCGTACGTTTCGAGCTTTGAAAATAATCAAAAAATTAGGATTTCAATGTAAAAATTGAGACTTTAAATCAATAAAATCAACCTGTATTTTTTCGATATTCTAATTTTCGCATCAATACATGATTTTGATTCATATTATGTCAATGTTATGCAGATTCTTACTTTAATCAAAGAAACTCTTTTTCACATAATTAAATCTACAGAGAATACTTTTTTGAATTAATTCGGCAGATCAAAAGATAAAAGGAAGCTCCAAATAAACTAAATGTCTTTTGCGCGTACTGTGAAACAATAAAAAACACAAATTCACGAGAATATAAATAATTATGGGAACCAGTCCCAAAGAAAAGATTAATCTACTTTGAGCATTTACAGCTGTTTTCGTTAGAATAGAAGATGATCATAAACATTTCTCACTATCTTTTACGAAGAAGAAAATGACGTATATAACCGTTTCAGAGACTATTTAATGTGAATAACGCTTGGAAACGCTCACTAGACGTAAAAAAGGCAAGAAAAGTGATGATCACATTTTTTCTTGCCGTTTATCACCGTTTCCTAACAGAATGGGTGAGTATGACAGTTTAAACGGCATTTTCAGCGTTTCACTTCTTCATGGGTATCATTCATTATGAAAGCGAAAACAGATGCGCTTTTATTTCCTTTTCTTTAGAAAACCACACAGGTAATCAGTTTCATGCAAGTATCTTTCGAAGCGGCATCATCTGATGAAATAGAGGCATCATTCTTATTCAACATTGAATATTGTCACTTTGCTTTTTGTCGGATGGTTTAAAAAGCTAAATACAGTATAATATAATCATTCACTATGCATAATTTTTTTTCAGTCGGACTTACATGAAAACTACAGTCAAGTGTTTCATCAACGGTTATTATAGTAGCGGAATTAACATATTCACAACGGTAGTTGGGTACGACAAAAATTGTAACCAATTGACATTTAGCAAAGAATTCATAACCATCCTCGACGACCTGTGCAACGTATTATCTTTGAAAGCTGATTCTTCCTGTGTGGTACTATTAAGGTTTATAAGAGAGAGACCGCGAGAGGACTACTCTACGGCGCTGGGAAAAAATTTCTTTTTTCGAGTTTGTTTTTTTAAATGATAGGTCTAGGCTAATCATTGTTAAATCGAAAATCTTAAATCATTTGGATAATCCTATGAAAAACTGCAGAAAAAACGAGTTTTAAGGGCCGATTTTGACCCCATAAAATTGATAACATGAGTGTGCACTCAGTATTTTGAGATTTTCTCAAGAATGGCTTGACCGTTTGAGGTCGAGAACGTCTCATTTGATAGGAAACTGTCTGGGCTACAATTATATTCTATTTTAGTAACTAACATATGAGATAAAAAATTTTCTGTAGGTCATACACTGTTACAATTCCAAAATACGACTTTGGTCGAAATGACGGTATTTCGAACTTTTCCCGAACTGTGTATGAGATGCTGAAATGACTGTTTTATCAAACATAGATCTCAGTAAGATACATCTTCTGACATTAAATTGTCCTAGAAAAAAAACTGGGGGGTCGAGTTAATATTAACCATTCTATGGACTACCCTACCTGGTCGTCATGGATCGTACCCTCAAAGCCATATAATTTCTTTATAAAGGAGGGAAACCAACTTCATATTCGTATTTAGCGTGAAAAACTGAGTTAGAAAAGTCATTTTAAATTGACCCCTTACTTTTACTAAGTGTGCTCAAGAACATCAGTCCATCTTATGCTCATATTGTGGATAGATGGATCGGTGTTTCGATAATAATTCATTATTACTAATAGCTATCGAGTTCTATTTTTTACCATGCGATAGCCCTTTCTAAAAGCTACAAAACTATATATTTTTCAAGCTCCAAAATCAATGATCAATTGGGTCGTGCCTAGACACATTGGTCTCGAAGCACCGGTTTTTACATTTTGGACCCATTTTTAGTCAGTTTTTTATTATATATTTACCATTTGAATCAAAACCAATATCATATTCGGAATCAGCATAAAAAACTGAGTTGATTCATTTATGTTTCATTGGTTTCTGAGACGATTGTTTTGGGGTGTGGGTGTGGGGGTGTGGGGATGGGTATGGGGGTGGGGGTGTGGGGATGGGTATGGGGGTGGGGGTGTGGGGATGGGTATGGGGGTGGGGGTGTGGGTGTGAGTGTCAAGACGATCTTCGTGCACCGAAAAAATAAAACATATAACTAAAATCAGTTTCCACTTAACATGATCTAAAAATATCCACCTGATGAAGTCCCGCCAAGATAGAAACAACTGTTGTCGTGGAACGGCGATTATTCTAAATCACACCCACTTGTGCTTTTAGAAATCTTTGATATTTGTTCAAAAAAATTTTCATTTTAAAGATAGATATTGACTTCTATAGTCGACTAAGATTATAGTTTGAAGTTAATTCTATTTGAAAATTTAAAATGTGCAAAAGTTAAAAATTTTAATTAATTATTATATTGAAAAGTAATTCAAATGTTATATACCTATATTTCAGAATTACTCTCTAGTCGATATAATATTAAGTAATCCACCTGATGAAGTCTCACCAAGACAGAAACAACGGTTGTCGTGGTACGACGATATAATTCTATTCACACACCCCATAAATAAGCACGAAACGCGTCAGCGAAAAAATTTAATTCTGCATTTACTCGATGAATTTTGAATTTAAGCACATATTTTATTTAGTTTTGAAATTTTAATTTCGACTGGGAAATCGGTTGTTGAAAAGCAAAAGCTGAGATTAGCAGATTGATTTGTGTTTTTGTTAAAGCATAGATTGATCTGTGTTCGATTTGAAACGTAACGATACTTGCAGTCTTATAAAGCCGGAGCCTATTTGTTTGCATCAATATTATTTTATTTTTTAAATATTTATGCAGTGTACTCTTACTTGCTATGTTATTTTTACCTTGAAATTCGAAACATGAAGGTACACTTTCGTTATAAGACCTCATTATCACAATGGATTCCGTTTTTTAAGATCAATATTTGACCTTCTACAAGCGGAGAAATTTGTTTTGGACTTTTAAAAGTATGACATTCGGAATCAGCATAAAGTGCCATGTGTATTAGTTTCTGTTTTGATATGGTTTCGACAATTTTCTTATTCAGCTCAAAACTTTACCGCTGCTACCGCTCAGTGATGAAAAAAGTCGAGTGCAAGAAAGATCAAAAATCGAAATCAAAATTAATTTCTCCTTTTGTTTGAAGTTGACATATTACTGATCTAAAATGCATTTGCAGTATAGTAGTGAACAGATTGTTTTGATGAATTTCATTATTCCATCCATCTTTGAAGGATAGCAGGGATCAAAAATTTGAGCGACATAAGACAATCATAGAAATAGTATGAAACAAACACGAGTCGACTTACTATTTTTGTGTTGATTTCGAATATGACACTTTAAGCGGTCCAAAACAAAATCCTCTGGTCGAAAATCGTTAAATGTTGACTTCTAAAGAGAGGGATTGTCATAAGAGTAAATATTAATAAGAAAAGCAAATCTTTGGGCGTCGAATTTCAATAGAAAAATGGCATGGGAAGAAAGGAAGCATCAAGAAAGGCCGTCCATGATGGGGAGGAGGTAAGATGCTGAAATTTACATCACTTCTATGCATCGTTCAAAGCCTCGTTGAGTACAGTTGCTTGGAGTTTACTGAAGTTGTTTGCCATGATTTGTTTCAAGAGCTTATTGCAACAATTGTTTTTAATCAACACTGTGTAGTTTGTTGATCCTATAAACTCGTTTAAATGTAGTTAATTTAATAAGTCTAAAAATATACCAATGTGATGGAAAAGGTTTTTGAAAAAGAACGCAATAGTAGCATAGAAAATAGTAGTTTTTGTAGAATAATCATAAGGATCAAGATTACTGTAGGTTATTTTATTGATACATATGCACGCCACATGAATACTGTAAAGAAAACAAGATGATACAGTAAAACCTCTCTATAGTGGACACCGAAGAGACGATGCAAGAATGCCCATTAGAACGAGGTATCTACTTTCGAGAGTTCTTCGAATTTTTTACTGACTATTTGTCATTATAGTTCATAATTCGTATTCAAATGATTTTCTTGATATCGCAATGCAAAATAGACCTTTTGAGAATATTTTGTGATTTATTTACATCCAAATATTTACAGTATTTTATATACAAATACTTCTCTAAACAATAAATTATTATATTATTACATAGGACAAAATATTAAACTAATCAATAAAAGTAAACTATTAAATCACCTCATAAAACAAATTGTTGAACTAGCTTGTTGTAAAATCAATTACTGAATCAAAATTTAAACATAAATTAATTAAAAAATGTTTCAATTAAATGGATGCTTAGTGAAAAAAATCTGTTATGCAACTTTGTTTACACACTCTCGAATCAAGATAAAGGTCAGTCATTTTTGACTCGAGTTCACTTATAAGCACGTGCAGTTGAGACTGTTCCTTCGACGCAAATAGATGCAGCCGTCTAAGAATATCTAGTGCTTCGGGCAGTTTCGGTGGTATTTCTTGCATTGATTCTTCTTCTTCCATTTCTTCACCGTTTTCAGCAGCATCATAATTGATAACTTCAATAAGGTCACTGTTGTCATACCATTCGTTAAACACCGGAATATTTCAGTCGATATGAACAAGTTGTTCAGCCGACATTCGATTACCGCGAATATTCAAGTGAGTAAGAAGATCATCGAGTTGTTTGATAGGATTTTGGTCTTCACTAGAATCTATAAACATAACACCGTCACTTGAATTCAGAATTGCTGATGCAGGACTAGAAAAGCCAGCTTCTAGAAAGGCATTGCAGATAGTCATATTTGTAACCATATTCCATGCCTTACTAATCCATTGAACAGCATCCAATGTTGTTACTGTAATTTGATTAATACTATAAGCCATGGTACACTGAGCAATAATGACACTTAAAAGGATGAATAACACCTAGATCGAGAGGTTGCACTAAATTGATTGTATTAGCAGGAAAAAAACAATTTTACGTTTGATAATTCTACGTCGACTGTATGACAAGGAGCGTTGCCCAGAACGAGAAGAATATTGCGTGAGCATTTTTTCATTTTTTTATCTAGTTTGATAAGCCATTCTGAAAAAAGTTTTGCGTTCACCCATACTGTTCTATTGGATTTCCATGTTACAGGAAAGTCAGCTTTGTTAAGATTTTTAAAGTAGCAAGGCCGATGGCTTTTTCCTAAGATTACAGGTAGAAGTGTTTTAGAGAGTTATCCATAATGACTTGCCAATAACTAATGGTTTCAAATTATCAGAGCCACTCCAATTATAGCAAAGTAACACAGTAAAGGGTTCTTTGGAACGTTTGCCACCCTTACAGCCTTCCTTGTGAAGAACCAGTGATCGATCAGGAATAGCTTTAAACAACAGTGCTGTTTTATCTGCATTGTAAATATCATTTTCATCATATTCATCAATAATTGTTAAAAGCCGATGTTTCCACTCTTCGGTTGTTGCTGTAGGTACTTTCGCACTTTCACCAGATATTTGCCTACATCCAATCATACGTCAATATCAAAACTTTTCTAGCCATCCGTTAGAAGCCTTGAATTCGTCTGATTGCACAACGATTTCTTGTGCGATCTGTAGAGCTTTTTCTTGCAATATTGGACCTGATATCAAGATTTTCTTGGATCATTGAGCGGTGAACTATTCGAAGAGAATTTCATCAATTATTTCCCATTATCGTTCTTTGATTTACGCTTTACGCCTTTATTAGTATTCATTAAATAGTCGTCTTCGTACTCAGTACGACGACTTAAGGTGTTGGCAACGGTACTCTTCAAAATCGAACACTTTTCTGCTGAGTTACGGATTGATAAACCATTGCCACTGCTGTGATCTTTAATCAATGAAATTTTTTGTTCGAGCGTTAGTTCGTGTCGCTTCATCATAAATAAATGATCGTGAACCCCTTCCCATAATTGAAGTCTCCAGGAGCTTCTAAACTGGCGAGCGTTCAAATTTTTTGGCGCGGGCTTCTATTAGATCTCATGATTTTTCGAAAATTCTAAGTAGAAAACTTTTCAAAAGTCCTAAGGGGTTTTCAGGGTTTTTACGGGTTGTTTGAAAGATTTCCGAAGATATTTCGAGATTTTGATACCGATAAATAAGAGTTTAACACATTTTTGCCGTAAAATCTTGCAACTTCTTAAATTGTACTATGAAAAACTCATAAAGCTTTTCAAAACATTCTTAAATATTTTTGAAAATGAAAGGGGGCTTCCAATAAGTCTTGCAGATCAACGTTTTCGGAGGGGACTTCTAATAGAGGAGGGCTTCTCATATGGGAGGGGTTTCTATTATGTGGGGGAGTTTATGATCAATTTTTCTCTCACTGTTCTCTTTTATATTTGTTTCATTCGTCTTCTTTTTTGTTCTGTTTCACATTCATCTGCCTTCATATTATTCTGTTCTTGTCTGTCTTTATGTACACTTTGTTCAATATTATCCGAATCATGATATTTAATGAGTGACACACAAGTTCTATTTGAATTTCTATCTATCTGTATAAACATGTTCATATTCGATTGAACGATAAAAGGATGAACTTGAAAAAATGTCCACATTAGAGAGATTGTTTACTAAGGACAGGACCAGGGGAAAATGTCCACAGTCCAGAATAGAGAGGTGTCCACAGTCCAGAATAGAGAGGTGTCCACATAAGAAGGTTTTACTGTAGATTTGAGCAGGAGACTTACTACTAAAATGATATGAAGCCTTTCACTTAGCTCCTCCTAGAATGATTATAGATTTGGAATGTACCCATGATCTTTTTCGCTCCAATAGGCACATCCTATGCCCACCCATTTACACTTCTATACTTTCCTACTCATTAGTTTCGATATTCTTTTTCTGTTCATTGCCACATAAACGAAAACGTCTTTTAATGCGAAAATTTGCTTCCCCAAAAACGAAACCATGTTAAGTAGAACACTGCTGTTATTTCAGATGGGTAAAAAGAATTTCAAAGATCTTTATCGACGTATCAAAAGGGAACACGGAACTGTGACTTGTGAAATATCCGTTTTCTCTGATAAATTCAATCCATTACTTAGATATGCTGGTGTTATTATCTACGCAATCGATGGAAAATTTGAATGGGAGAACTATGGTGAGCATAGAAGACAGTACATTCCGCAGAGGTGCATTCATTTATATGAATCCTTTTTATTCATTTTTATAATGGATAGAGGGTGGAAAGGCTTATGGGCGAAGAGGAAGAAGTTTTTACATCATTATACAATGTACAGACAAATGGTCAGACGACTACTATAAACCATCAGGACAAGGAACTGTTCATGACTACCTCTTGAAAAACGTCATAGGTATTGAATCTGATCAGAAGCGCATTGCATGTGGTGGGTTTGCTTATCTCTATGGAGAACTAAGATTTAGTAGTATTTGGCTCAATGGTACGGACCAAACTGATGCTGAGAGTGATGGAGACAGATATTTGAGCGATTCTGAAAAGGCCTTGGTCACCTATTGCTGGGAGGAGTACAAAAAGCATGGTGCACATCACGTATTCTCTATTCCGCTTTTTATAGATGAACTATTATTGAATTAGTTCGTCATACTACAGATTCGTACCTTTCTTGCACTCGTGAATAATACTCTTATCGTTCTTACTCTTCCAAATACATGCTTATGGACATACACATGATATGTTGTCTTTGTAAGAACTGTAACATAGATGAGAAAAGTTGGTGAATGATTTATTCCTCTTTCGTCTTCACTGTCTATCTTCATTCCAAATTTGTATGACTCTTTGTGGCGAGATACGATTCTTTGTGTATGCCAAAGAAGCTTCTTTTATGTCAGCCTAGACCGCAAAAAAATGACCAACAAGTGGACTTGAGTTACGGCTGTGGACCTAGAATTGTCGCATCCAGATCGAGGTATATACTATAGCTTGATGCAGATTGAGACCCAAACTGAAGGAGGAAAAAGCAGAACTTCGTACTTCACGTACTTCATTCGTACTTCACTATATTTCACTGTACTTGAGAGATGCAAAGTTTCGTTTCTGTGTATGACTGTGGCTGTGAATGTGTGGGTGAGGGTGAAGGTTTGAGTACAGCTAACCAAGATCCGGATTTCGTTCCTGTTAAAGAATTCATCAGTTAGCTTTATTTCTGCAATAAGGGGTGAGGGGATGAGGACGATTATCTTAAACAAATATAAGATGCCGAATGACAAAGCATTAGATGAGTTCATTGAAGAACTATTTATATTCCTTTTACTTGTCCACAGAGTTATATTTATATAAATTGAATGAATATATCCACATGATATGCTCTGTTAAGTGCGAAAGGCAAAACAGAAAGAATCCTTTAAGCAGAATGAAAATGGAACCCACATTTTTCAATAGCCAGATTTCTGGTGGGTGGTGATGATGGATCTGAATTTTGTTGTAAAAAATCCTAGTTCTGACCTAGTTACTTGTTAGGTATGTCCAGTGATGTGGGATGGTTTTACTATATGATGGTATTGTGCTCAGCTCGTTATACCTAGGGGTGGGAAGTTACCGTTACCGTTCCCAGGTAACGGGAACGGGAGAACGGACAGGTGAGTGTCTACCGTCATCAATCCTGTAGCCTCGGCCCTCCAGTCCTACTATTGGGGTATCCTTTGGTCCTCAAGTTCTACTATTCCGGGTACCCTTGACTCCTCAACTCCTACAATTGCGGAGTATTCTTAGGTTCCCAAGTCCCACTATTGGTGGGGGGGGGGGGGGGGGGGAGAGGGGGAACCGTTGGACCATTAAGACCAGCTATACTACATGTTCCCCAGATAAAATGGAAGAGAAAAGCTTCTGAAATCTCAATGGTCAATTTTTTCGACCAATCAGATTTCAGGAGCTCTCTTCTTTCATATTGTTCCGACGAGTACTACCCAAGCAGACAAACATTTTCAAAAACGCATTTAAACGCACGCAAAAGGCTTAAAATCCACAAAAAAGTGGACGTGTTTGGCTTACAATCGCGGCTCCCGACTATCAGCGAAAAACAACCACTTTTTGTGCGTTTAAACGGGTTTTCAGCAAAAAAAAACGCTTGTAAACGGGTATAAACGCATAAAACGATCATAAAAACTTGTCATCTTTGTTATACTCGTAAATCACAAACATAATTACAATCACAGTTTACGAAAATGAAAAAGATAACTACTTTTTATGTTCTTTTTATGCTTTTATACATGTTTACAAGCGTTTTTTCTGCTGAAAACGCGTTTAAACGCACAAAAGGGGCAAAAATGATTGTTTTTCGCTGACAGTCGGGAACCGCAATTGTGAGCCAAATACGCCCACTTTTTGTGGATTTTAAGCCCTTTTTTGTGCGGTTAAACGCGTTTTTGAAAATGTTTGCCTGCTTGGGTAGTCATGTTCGGGCCGATCTTAGGGTTCTCAAGGATCCTCTATCAAATGAGAGGTATATGTATGGGGCTCCTCCCGAAGAACCATCGTGGAATAGAATATCGCAATCTGATTGGTCAATTTTTTCGACCAATCAGATTTTAGGAGCCCTTTTCTTGAGGGTGTGGGTGTGGGTGTGGCTGAGGGTGGATGTGGATGTGGGTGTGAGTGTGTGGGTGTGGGGTGAGGATGGGGGTGGGGGTGGGTGTGGTGTGGGTGGGTTGGTGTGAATTTGGGTGTGAGTGTACGGTGCGACTGTGAGTGTGGACGTTAGTATGGGTGTGTGAAAGTGAGTGTGGGAGTGAGTTTATCGTCTAGATCCGCATTCAAACCCCACTGCCGCACCCACACATACCCCACAGATACCCACACCCATGCTCAAGGGGAAAAAGTAATTCCTGCATCCCCGAATTCTAAGGAATTGTTATAGTTTCCAGTGAATTCTCATAGCTCGTGATGAGTCCTAATGGTTCCTGACGGAGCCAAAAGCACCTACCAGGACCTACTGGTATCCATCAGGTGTGACCAGAAGCCACTAGCATTCACTGGGAGCCACTAGGATCCATTAATATCGGGGATCCAGGATCTGTTTTTTCTTCTTGCCCACATCCACCAAACTCATCCAAATTCACCGCACCCACACTCGCCAGACCCACTCACCGCAGCCGTGGCCACGCCCGCACCCAGCTCCCACATACAAGCCAGCACCTAGCCGTCACACGCACAACCACTCTCACCCACATCCACACCCGCACCGAGCCCTAACACCCACACTCAAACCCACATTTATACCGACACCGACTGCCTCTTGAGGTCTATGTTGATAAGTTTTTTTTGTTAAAATCAAAAAAACTCCATATTTTTCGTCACTGCCGAATTATTTGTTGACCAATTGCCTCAGCACTATTACCCTTCTGGAAATAAGGTATGTTTGCACAAATTGTCTCTAAGTTAGCTTCTTTAATTTAAATGGGTTCATTCTACTGTGGAATGGAAGAAGTTTTCGTGTAGAAAAAAATGTATTTTTTTAGTGGAATGCTCTAGATTATTTTATAAATAGAAAATCGAAACAATGTAGCAAACAAAT